AGTGGGAGAACTTGCACAATTGGTGGCTGACTAAATACTTTTTTGCCCCACTGTATGTACTATGTGAAGCTGGACTTTTGTGGACTAAACGGATAGTCTAATCTGCTTGCACTGCCCTATGTTACTTCCTATTAACAGGACAATTGTTTTTAATAGTTATTTCAGAGGGTCTATAACAGTAGAGCAACCAGTGATGGAAAAGTAGATGTTTCTAATATAAGGGTGCATAGTGAAAATTTTTGAAAATTTGGCACTCAGGTCCAGTTCTATTATACACATTCTGTTGCATTAGGAAATGTGAAACTAATGCTATCTTTCTTTAACAGCACTTTGTAGACATGTTTTTGAAAATGCTCCCCCCCACATCAACTGTTCTGTATGTGCTGTTTATTTGGTAAAAATGAACATTTCTTCCTTACGAAATGTAGTGGAATAAAAATGTTCAGATCATGACTAATAAAGTATGCAAAAGGTGTGGCCCATGACAAGTTCCAAAAGCATCCCCCCCCCCATTTTTTGGTATTGCAGAATCAAGGGAACCTGAAGTTCTACAGAGGCTTGGTACCAATTTTGATACCTTAAAAACCTTGTAACTTCCCTCAGTGTAGTTGGTGAATTGAAATTGGTCATAAACTAACACCCACACAAACTGTTCTTTAAATTCATCAATATAAGAAATGGCTTGAAAATTGATAAGGGAATTATTTATTTCTAAAGAAGAGATGCTGGTTTGTGCATATTTCTGTGCCTTATTTATAAAGGTATATAAAATAGATGTCTTTTTTGCATAGGTGAGCTACAACAGTGTCAAATAGCTTCCTTGTTTATGTTTTGGTTTGGACTCCCACATGATCAACTTACATTGGAAGAAAGCTTGTACTTATGTTAGACCTCACACAACTATTTTATTTGTTTTATCTTATTTTCCATCTAAAAACAGTAAGGAGTTTTATTAATATTTTTGAGATTTTTTGGTGGCAGTCCAAAGGCCATTTGGTGGCATAGTTGGGGAAGAGACTCCAAAGGTCACAAAAATGACTGACAGAACTTACATGTGGTCTGTAGATTGCCATGTCCTGATTTCATAATCTGCTTCCCCTACAAAGTTTCTCTATACCAAGCCCTGTCAACTTCCTTCAAGATATATTGCTAAAAGCTTCAGCAATCAAGTCAAGGCAATTAAAATTGTTGACTTTAGAGTTAATGACATACTTTGCTATGGTTTGTTCTGTTTTTTGCAATAAGGAATATAAAGGTGGTCTTTTCTTTTAATACTAACTAGTTTTTTTCTTTATATCATGTAAGGATCTAGATTCAACATTTTGGCCATAGATTTTTTTTTAAAAAAACAGTCAGTTAAGATGAGCAATCATTGGCAATTCTTTAATTAGTTGATAGAACTACAGTGTATGCCTTGGATCATAAACACACTGAAATTCAATTAAATGCCGTAATTTATGTAGGGCTAGAGTTTGACACTGAATTATTGTGTTGTTTTCAGTATTTTGGTTTGTTTCAGTTGAGTACATAAACAAAAAGTAATGTAATTTAGTTAATTGTTCCAAGTAGAAGCATTTTTATAAGCCATAATATTTATATTCAGAATATTTTTATACCTTATTACAACTTACAAATAATTTCTATCTTTCTCAGGCAAATGAAATGTTATTTAGTGGAAGGAAGCTGACTGCACAAGAAGCATGTTCAAAAGGACTGGTGTCTCAAGTATTCTGGCCGGGAACATTCACACAGGAAGTTATGGTTCGAATTAAGGAACTTGTCACATGCAATTCAGTTGTAAGTTGCTTGCTTCTTTCAATGAAATTTTAATACTCAGACTGTTATAATGATTAAATTACCAGTTCACAGAGTAAATTTAGCCTAAATCCATTTTGACCTTGCCCTCCAAAATTATGGAAAGGACTTTCACCATTCTGGATATACATGGGCAGATAGGATTTCCACCAACCATCCCAGTTAACTCTGAATCAAAAAGCTGCCACCTTATTCTCTCTCCTTTTACCTTGCATGAAAAAGACACTCGAATGCAGGTTGTAAGATTTCACAGAGAGAAGGAAATGACTTGTGTATGAATTCTGTAAATAGGTTCCCAATATCCAGTAGGGCATTATCAGTAACTGTAATGCAGCTCATAATTTGTTGTTTAATGCATAAATCTAGAAAATTGATTTTAAGTGTTTAAAATAAGAATGCACTCTAAAAAAACCTCAGTTGTTTTGACTGTACTAGTATGAATATCTGATTCAAAACCATGGATAGGAAGAGGCATGAGAACTGTCTCTTGCCTTGATACCTGAACAGCTTAGTTCCACCGCATTACTCTGTATATACGCTGTTTAATTTAGAATTTCTTCCTGTATAATGCTTACTTACCAAATAAAGAATATGTTTGCATTTAATTATCCTGCTTATGCAGAGGGTAAAATTTGTAATATGCTGAAACCCAATCACCATTATAAAACAATTCGTTGTTGCTGCATTAGATATGATGCGCTCATCCACCTGCATTCTAGTAGTGCAGACCAGTCTAGAAGTGGGACCAGTAAGCATTTTGCAGTCCATTGAAAGTATTTTAAGTGTGCTTTCAACTGTATTCTGCAAATCTATTTGGATGGCCTTTCTGGAATAGTTCCACAGTGTGTACAGTGGTGAGATTTGCAGTAGAGTATGGATTCCAGCTTTAACCTGTTTAACGTCTAGTCTTGCTTTAGTACCCATTATTATTAGCAAAAGATGCTTATATAACCAAACCAAAGACAGCTGGGTAGCTTCAATGAAGGATGGCAAATACTAGCTTCCACATCGCAGCTCTTATATTCACCCCAGCCTTAATTACAGTTGGGGATGTTAATGTTTCTTGACTAAGATTTCTTGCAGCAGTTAAAACCGATTTGCATGTCTATGCATGCACATACACATTTTTAGCACAACATCTATGTTAATTGCAGTCCCACCACAGCCTATTAGAGGGATTGAGGCAGTTTATCTTTCTGAGATAATATCTGCACTTTACTGTCTGTGCCTTGTGGTTTTAAAATGTTAATTTCAGGAAAATATGTAAAAGTCAATTGTATGCTAAACTGGATATATACTACTTATACATTAAATGTCTGTTCATTTTTATCCTTAACAGCCCTTTCCACATTTATCTGTAATCAAAGGAATTGTGTAATAGAGCACTGATATGGGGGAACATAGATGCAATCAAACCACAAGGGAGAGCAACATGTTGAAATAGCACTTCAGATGTGCAAAAAGTGCAACTTAGCATCAGAATTCAGATGACAGAATTCATCCAGGATCCATTCAAGTGGCAATATAATGCCTTTTGCTGTTCCGGAAAATTGTTGAATAAGATAGTGTTCTGGAACACTTCATGCTGCCCTAAATCATGAAGATCTGTTTACATTTCTTTCATTTAACATTTAGTAAACAAAGCTAAAATAAAATTATTCCATATTATCTTGATGTGTACTACATAAATCTCTAAAAAGTTTTTGTTTTGCTTTTTCATTAGCCCAAAGTAGTTGAACTGAGATATTTGATAAGGGAAGAAAAATTCAGTGAAGGGCACTAATAAGAAAATCCTATTTCATGCAGCAAATCAGAACTTGCAATAAATTCAAAAACTGCCTGCACGAATAGAAGAGAGGAAACAGACTTTTTCATTTGTTTTCTTTATCCGTGGATTTACATTCTCTTCCCTTGAAACCAAAGGAATTTATTTGATTTGCACCAGTTCCAAGTCTGGAATAGATCAGCTACTAGTTTGGTGACTTTCTGGGGGCCAGGAAGGCTGTTGAACCAGTGGAACCATTGTCTTTCTGGCTTCCTTCTACACGCCTTCCCTTCTTTTCTTCCTCTGAGTGGGAAATCTCTCTTTTACTTTTGAAGGGCAGACTGGAAGATGGCCTCTGAGACCACTGGATTGCAGCCTTAATGTTTATTGTATTGTCGAAGGCTTTCGCGGCCGGCATACGATGGCTGTTGTGGGTCTTCCGGGCTGTGTGGCCGTGGTCTTGGGCCACGTTAGGAAACAAGACTTCAAGACCACGGCCACACAGCCCGGAAGACCCACAACAGCCATTAATGTTTATTATTTAAAGGTTTATTTGTGAAATTGCTATTGAAGGCACTGAAAATTGTTGACATCTTAATTTTAGCATGTCTAAAGAGCTGTGCTTATAAATATATGTCCTTTCAAAATATAGCCAGCCTGTCAGTTAGTGCCACTTTGACTTTTATTTGACTAGTATTGTTTCCATTCCTGTTGCCCAGTTCAATTTATACTACGAATTCATACTGTTGCTAATTGTATGAAGCAAAGCATTTATAATGCATACTTTTTCTGCCAAAAAAAGTTGGGTTTTTTGTTAATCTACCACAGCTAGTACTAATTTTAATACAAATTAGTTTTATCCAAATAAAGTTGATTGAAGACAGGAAGAACTTCAATAATCTAGCATGGAAAAATAAAGCATTGCTGAAGGGAAGGCGAAATTTAAAGTTGATGATATGTCTTTTTTTGGGGGGCGGGGGGTCTGTTTTTCCTTTCTTGGCTGTTTAGGCAGCCTGTATTTTCAAAAGTTGTTTATCCCAGTGTTTTCCAGAAGAGTATTTGCAAGTCTTTTCCTGACTTTCCGTTCAGAGTCCCAACAGGTGAATGTAGAGGACTTGATTCTCTAATCTGGGCCACATTGGAGAAGGAGGAATTCCTCTCCTGGCTTTACAAATGTGGTCACTAGAACTCATCTATGTCTATATGCATGTTATTCAATTTTTAAAAAAATTAATAACACAAAAAAAGAGTTTAAGGGAATGCTTATCAAATTTGCAGATGATACAAAATTGGGTAAGATAACTAATATAGAAGGCAGAGATTTATTCAGAATGGTCTTCATAGGATAGAAAAATGGGCTGAAAGGAACATAATAGCATTTTACAGAAACAAATGTGATATTCTTAATTTAGTTAACAAAAATACCTTCTCAGGAATGGAGCTTTTGAAAAAGATTTTGCAATAATAGTTAATTGCAGAGAGAGCCAGTTTGGTGTAGGGGTTAAGGCACCAGGCTAAAAATTGGGAGACTGTGACTTCTACTCCCGCCTTAGGCACAAAGCCAGCTAGGTGATCTTGGACCAGTCACTCTCCTCAGCCCTAAGAAGTAGGCAGTGGCAAACCACTTCCAAAAAACCTTGCCAAGAAAACTGCAGGGACTTGTCCAGGTAGTTGCCGTGAGTCAGCACTGACTTGAAGGCACCACCCCAAAACAGTTAATTGCAAACTGAATGTGTTAGTATTGATAGTATTTTGACTCTATTCTTTGCAAATGTGCAAGTATTTAGATTTGTGAAGTATTCCAGTTTTCAGGTCTATGATTCAGTTATTTGCTCAAGACTTTGCCCAGATTGAAGGGCAGATTAGAATACACTGGTTTGGTTTGGTTTTTTTGTTTTTGTTTTGTTTTGTTTTGTTTTTTTAATTTGGTACTTCTCTGAATTTGCAATTACGTTCCTAGATCAAAGGAACCAAAAAGTATATAAAATGCAAAACACAAGGCAAAATAGCTTTAGGAATTCGTACTTTAAGAATAAATAAATTTAGAAATTTATATTGCTAAAATAAATGTTCCGAAACGTTTTAAATACTTTGTGCACCTTTTTAAAAAAAGAATTGATGTGGAGATAGGATAGAACAGATATATCTATGAATCAATAGTAGAAACAGTAGAAGTAGACTGATTTTTCCATCCTTATATGAAATGTCTCCCTGTATCTACTCTGTTATATCCCTTATTTATAGAGAAGTGGCTGCCATTCATTCTTATGGAGAAAAGTTAATGGCTCATTTTTAAAAGAGAAAGAAGAACTTGTCCCCCACCTGTGACTCTCAGTTGCCTGCCATCCCTAATGTTGCAGTGCACATACATCAATAGTCTGCATTCACATGTTCTCCCTCTGACCATTCTTTATGATCAAAACTTATGTTTAGTATTAAATAATTCCATGCTTATGCTTTTTTTAATTTAATGTAGGTACTTGAAGAATCCAAAGGTTTAGTTCGTAGTATTATGAAGGTGGACTTGGAACAAGCCAATGATAAGGAGTGTGAAGTTTTAAAGAAAATTTGGGGTTCTGCTCAAGGGATGGACTCAATGTTAAAATACTTGCAGAAGAAGATTGATGAATTTTGAAGAGATGTGTATTGACACTGGATTGTATTTACTTGGACATCTGGATTTCATCAATACCCTAACTGAAATTAAAATAAAATATACCTAAGGCTCCGAAAATGTGGGCTAAAAGGTAGAGGAACATGGTTTTATGGTCAAGGGTTTTTAAAAGAAGTACTGTATGTTAAGCATTGAACAAATGTTTCTTTCTCCATATATATATATATAAATATATATATATATATATATTATATTTCTTTATATACATGAACTAAAATATATAATGGAGTGCACTACCAAACTTTTGTCTTCTACTTTGTTATCATTGGCTAGTACTGTATCAGAAGAAAATGGTGAATAAAATGAAATGTTGCATTATTTTGTATGTGGCAGGAAAGTCCTGAAGCAATGAGCTATTTTTTCACTAGAGTCCAGAGTTAAAACGGGTATTGGCCGGCCCTTACTTTCACTGCCCAAAAAGTCAGTTAAGAAGAGGCGTTGCCTTGAATTCTGAGAAAGGTTAAAAAATACCTCAAATAATGATGTATTCTAAAAAACAAATATTTTTTAAGAAAAATGACCCTATAAGAAAACGCCCCCCTCCTCCCACAAATCCCCAGGTATGCTCAGGATTTACACTATACAAACACTCAGCCCTTCTTGTTTTGGGGAATGTGCCCAGTTCTTACTCAAATAGCATGAAGATGCCAGTTTCTTGTCAAAAAAAAAAAAAAAAGTTTTGTTTTGCAGTATTAGTGAATCACTGAAATACCATATATACTATGGGTTAAATAATAGTTTAGTCTTAGTGGTTTTATAAAAATTTAGGGTTTTTTAATTATTTTACTACATAATTGCTTCTATTGCTGGGTGAGAAAACTATATACATTTTTTGTTCTGTTTGCTTGTTTAAAGAAATACACCAAAAATATATATATTATGTTCATCTTTAGCTTCCTGTAGAATATATTTTATTTAATAAGTTAAAATTTGTGTGGCACACTATTAATTATTCCTTTTTCAAGCTACCTTTTCTTACTTGTTTATGGTCTTTTGTCAGTGCTTTTAATCTTAATTATACCCTATGACCCTGATCCAGAGATCTCTCCATGCAGCAACAGGCTGTAGGCATTTTGCAATGCAATGGATGAGGTTCCCCTCCAGAGAACAGGAGTAGTGCTGTTAACTGAAGTGGGTACTTAGAGGTATTACTCATCTATTTGACAGAGTATACTTGATGCAGGAAGACCATCCGCAGCCTCCCAACACCCCATCAGGTGTTGGAGGCAACCCCTCCATCTTCCCATCAAACACACAGTGCCCTTTTGTGCGCTTGGGACTGCATCCAGAAGGGCAATGTGCTGGTGAAATTCTGGTTTCCCTTCAGAGGTTGCCATTTCTGGGTCAGGGTGCATAATAGACAGTACAGTCTGGTGTACAAGAGTGCCCTGTGTAAATAGACCTATTTTGCATTCCTGTTGGGAGTGTATGATGATTCCAACTCCAGATATCTATTAGGACTTAGATATCTGCACTTGCAATCTTACTGAATGTATGAAGAATGGGGAAAATTTAAACCTTATTTTTGTACAGTTTGAAACTTTATACTCGGAGCCTGACCACCTCATCCTAGCGGAAAGATGTACAGTGTGTAAATCAGCTTTTACCTTGGGTTGGTACAGTATTTTTGCATCTGTGGGACCTAATTTTTGTTGTTCTAGTAGTTTGAACTATATATAAACTGTACAATCTGTAAAGTTTTTATAGAATAAATATTCAGCTGTGAACTGGTTAAAATAAAACTAATATTTCTTAACACCTCTTAAAAGCACTGCAATGTGTTGTCCTTTTTCTTCATCCAGTGTTCTTTCATCTCTCCCCAGGAATTTTTTTTCCCCAGCTTTTGAAGTCTTTTTAAACTGTGGTTTATTATTTACAAATTCTTGTAAATTTTTAAGATTTTCCCCAGACTGTATTTCTTAAATTCCTCTTCTGCAGCAAAAGCAACTTTTAAAAGCATACAGAAAACCCACTGGATTAAATCTTCAAATCTTAGATTCTGGAATGGAGATATAAAAGTATAAACGCTTTCCTTTGGTGACACGTGGTGACATCAGTCTCTGCTGTAACCTTACTTGTACTGTCTCTAAGGCCAGGGAAAAAAAATAGAATAATACAATTCAGTTTCCAAATGACTAATCTCTTCACGCTTGAACAACTGCAGCACATTTGCAGCTTATAGTTGTACGGCAAGAAAGGGCTCAGATTACATTTTTTTTTAATCAGCTTAAGACCAAAGCCCTACATATTTATTTTAAACAAACCACCTTCTTTTTGCTGCCTTGTGTGATTCTCCATTATAACCTACAGTCAACCCATCTTTTTAACAATGAGTTGTACAGACCATGTGACCGTTTAGCGGTGTGAAGATGGTCATTCAACAGCATTCATTTCCGTGCTGTGCATACAAATTTGTGGACTTGAGTAAGATGATGTTGAAGAGTTCTTTGACATTTTATATATGCTTCACATGTATATTCATAATAGATACTTCATATCTATTAACTAGTCCATAAATAAACTCTCTGCTTGTGAGGGGGGGGGGGAAGACAGCAAGTGTGTTTATTTTTATGTAAATGGGTCTGCCTGATTACTCTGGACATTCTTATAAAAATAGAGGAAAGCCAATGCATTGTTCTTGCATAAAAGAGAAAAAAGAAACTGAGCTTTATTATTTCAAGCAATATTCTAATAGATACTTTTGAAGTGGAAAAATAGACATAAGCTATTATTTGTACAGAAATTTACAGTGTTACTTAAGCAAAGGTATAAAAGGTTTTGTCCTTAATTCCTTACAGTCTAAAATAGGTATAGAGAACACAAATTCTAAATATTGCTTCTCTTCCTTGCTGTTAGCAAATTCCTTACAGTAATGTACCGGAAAGTATTGATGAAATACATAATATTTGTATACGTTTATTGCCTATGATAAAAATCTTTATGTCCAATAATAAATGTGTTCTGGTTTGGGATCCCTCCCTCCTCCCCCACATTTTGGTACACTTTGGTAAATTTCACATTTCGGTATACTTCTAGCCTGAGCTGTTACAGGACTTTGAAATGTAAAATGTAGCTCCGTCCTTTGTGGCCTGCAGGATTTGTACTCTAAGTGACCAAATGTAGCCTTGAGTGGCTGCTTTTTCCAATAGCATTTGATTGTTCAAAGAATCCCAGCATTCACAGTGCTATGCGGGTGTTTTGCATCTTCCAGAGGCTCTCTGTCTACAGCAAGAAATTATGTGGGAAGTAATTCTTGAGGATTCTAAAGCTTTAGACGAGTGAGGAGTCGAACAGTGCAGTATCCCCAGAGAATGCAATTATCTACTTAATCAACATTTACTTTTTAGATTTATAGCCCATATTTTTCTGGATCTAAAGGCAATGTACATAATGCTCCCTTCTCCAATTTTTCCCCACCACAGTGCAGCAAAGTAGGTTGGGCTGAGAGAGCGACTGGGTCAGAGTCACCCAGGAAGCTCCCAGGACTGAGGGTGGCCACAAACCTGGGATTCCCTGGTCCTAGTTTAAACCACAGCACCACACTAGCCAGTCATTTCCATACTGTTGCTAAGGAAACAGCATGGACATGTTCAGGTACACTGCAAGCTATGCCTCTAAATAAAGAATGCCTGCTGGGTCCTGAGTAATCAAGGGAAGTAGGTGTGTGCTAGAACTGGCTTTATAGGATTTTTTTTCACAAGTGTTTGCCCATTCAATTGGAGAAAATAATGCAAGCAGTGAGTGAGATCACTGAATATTCAGAGATCACTTCGTTAAGTTCTTATCAGTAATTGTACTGCTTTGTATTATGAACAGCTTCGTAGATTACTGTAGTCATACTCTGGGTTACATCATCAAACATGCATGCCAATTATGAATCACTGAACAATGTTCAGAGTTGCTCTAAGCTAAGAGGTCAGTGTACTCCAGAATTCAGTTCTACCTAGACATCCAAATAGTTTCAGAGCCTTAATGGAGTTGTACATCACTAATGGTTCAAATCAAGTATATGTGAAGAAGGGCTGTGCAAAGGCTTCAAAAGAGATGCCCAACAATGGGCAGGACTGAATCATTAAAATGGCCCAGGTTTTTTTCCAGCCAACGTGTGGAGGCGAGAGCCTTCAACATTCCCACTTTAGAAGTAGGAGGAGCCCGTGCCCTTGTTTGTCCCCCTCAATAGCCTAGCTTCACCTCAGAATCAAGCATCGAGAGCTACTAAGTAATACTAAGTAAAGGGGATAACGCGAGTTTAGTAAATGTAAGTGAAGGGGAAATGCCACACACCAGGCTTGCTCTTCACTGGATTAAGACACATCTGTCACACAGATGAAGTTAAATTACATTAAACTAAAAGCAAAACCTCTTGTCACTTTTAAGCTACTGAGTAAAATGATTTAATTCAAAGGAAAAGTGAATGTATGTTTTTCATTCTAATGCAATGAGTTCAGTAACTAAGAAATTAAGTAGAGTTGCCTACAGTGTACCATTTAGGCCCCCAGATTTCAGTCTCCTTTGAATCTTGCACATATTGAAAATGCAAAATTCAGTGTAAAAGGATATCTTGCTTGGAGATGGAAATAGCGAATCTGCATTTTTGTATGTGCAGGACCATACAAATACATGTTGCTTGAGATTGTGCTATATGAGTGCGTTGCACTGCAAACATCATCCTGCAAAAATGGTGATTTCAGTGGACCTAAACGTTTGTTTTACTGTGCATCTCTTTCCAAAATAAACATGTTACTTTTTATGTAGCCTTGTATTTGAGATCTCACATGAGATGCAGCAATTTATCTGAAGTAAAAATGCTACATTTCTGAATAATGGCACTTCCATAGCAGGTGTAACAATAGTGCCATTGTGCAAATCCATTTAGGCCTGCTGTGGTTGAGCTGCAAAGGTTCGGAGGGCCATTGGCTGGCAGCAAAGAGGTACAGAAGCTAATTTTGTACTTCTATCTGGTGGTCCTTCGGAGTTTCACACTCCAGCTACCGTAATCATGCATTTTTATACCAGATGTGAATTGGTTCATACCCAGAAAAAAAATGTCTTACTTTGTTTTATGACACTTCAGATCTTGGGGTCTGAAGGATAGAATGGATCCCTTCTCAGTGCTAAGGTTTTAGTTCTATTTTTGGGAGTGTCAT